GCCTCCACCAGCTTCTAGTTTAAACTCAGAGTTCTGCTGCTTTTCCTTAGGAATGAGGCTTCATTTCCTGGAAATGAGCTCTGATCCAGCACGAAGAAATGAAGGAAACTTTGGGCTTTTTGTCCCAGAAATGACAGAAATAAGTGGGAAAATAAATATCCGAATCAACTGGACCTTGATGAATTAAAATCTTTGCCAAGGGATGTTTTCAGCTTTAGTTTTGTAATTCGGGTCAGTTTGACCTGTTTCTAATGAGTCCTGACTTTTGTTTTCTTCCATCTAACTGCCTAAAAGGACACAAACGTCTCCATTTAATGAGCTTTTTCTGGATCAAACATCAACACCTGAGCCTCTGATCAAACTAGAGTCCAGAGAACTCAGAGTTCTGCTGCTTTTCCTCCAGAATGAGGCTTCACTTCCTGGAAATGAGCTCTGATCCAGCATCCATAAATGAAGGAAACTTTGTGCTGAAACCAGTCGACTAAAAGATGGAACTCGGAGCTGTGGATCATTTTAGACTTCCTGCTTTAGAAAACAGCCACTCTGAGCTGGAGGACCACAGCTGGACTGTTTGCTGCCATTCAAAAGCCCTGAAATGCTTCAGATCAGCATCATGATCAGCTCTGACAGCAGCAGGTTTTCCATCCAGCTGTGAGCCTCCGATCACAACCGGAGAGGGAACTACTCCCACTTTCTGCTTTCTGCCTCCAGAACCAGCTCTGATTTCCACTAAATGAGCTCTGTTCCAGCAGATGTTACAGACAGAGGTGGAAACATGAATTCAGGAGCTGATACAGCTTCACTGAGAAGCACAAACTCAATATTTGGGGGACATTTTACACTTTTTGCTTCAGTCAGACAGACCTGAGAGGACAATAAAAGGCTTTAAAACACATTAAAGTGTCTCTTTGATCAGTTTAGAAATAAGTATCTTAAAAATTAAAGTTAATTTTACACCAAAATAATGAAAATGTGTTAGTTTTTCAGCAAAAAGATGAAATAATCTTCACAAATTAATTTGGGAATCAGATAAATCCCTAAAAGAAATAAAAATAAATCAGAATATCTCTAATTTAAACGTTAAATTACTGCTTTTCTCCTCAAGAACCAGCTCTGATTTCCACAAAATGATCAAGAGAGGTGGTCCGGGTTCTGGGTTCTGGGTCTGGGTTCTGTGTCCAGGTTCTGTGTCCAGGTCCAGGCTCTGGGTTCTGCATCCAGGTCCAGGCTCTGGGTTCTGGGTCTGAGTTCTATGTCCAGGTTGTGGGTCCGGGTCCGGGTTCTGGGTCCTACCTGAGTCGCTCAGTCGGGGTCCAGCAGCATCCCACAGCGAGTCGTTCGGCAGTC